AAGCTGACTTCACAGTTAATAGACAGAATAAACAAAAATACTACAAAAAAAAAAAAAAAAAAAAAAAAAAAAGCTTTTTTTGTGTATGTAGCCAAGCCATAGCAGAATTCTGTGCAGAAACTGATAGGCAAAAATTGTGCACCTGTGCTCCACCTAAGTAGTTTCAGAACTAATTAACTGATAAGTACATATGTTCTTAGGTGCTCACATACATTTGCAGCCTTTATTGCAGGTGTGTCAAGGGCAGATGAAAACATACATATTTAATATTGAAGTATGCCATACACTGCCATAATTACAGTCACTAACAGTTCTTCCTTACCTTTTCTTCAAGTAGCATATAAATCAGGGTAATCCTGCCAACTACTTCTAGTCAGGTCTAACATTATATTCTGTACCTGGGTTCTCATGGCAGCCCTATTATATCTGTGAAGGTGCTAGTTCATACTTCTACCTTAAAACAGATAGAGGAACTCCAGAATGATTTATTGTTCCCACTCCATTAAGAAAGAGTAAAACACACAAAAGCCCAATGTAAGTGGATTATACCATGAAGAGATTCTTCATCAGTATACACTTCCTAAATCCTTAAACACCCCCTATAAAAATAAGTTCCAGAGTTTTTGAATTAGATGCATTTCAGCAATGACATGAATTCTAGGTCTCCAGATTATTATTTTTAATCCATTCACTAACTCCTTTTCATCTTCAAGGGCTTTAGAAGAAGAAGAAAGCTTACCTTGTAAATTCACATTAATGTCACTCTTTTTTGGCAACTGAACAAGCGGATGAAAAGATAAGCCACAATAGAAATCACAAGACAAGTTTTTCCATCATTCCTTCATAAGCCCCAGTTCCAAAGTACACAGTCCTGCCCTACTACTGGAAAGGCTGGAGCCTTAAGAAACATGCTTATAAATCACCACAGCTGGATCAAGCACAACTTCAGCTGCTTAGATAGCAAGCCTACCTTATCAGGTCAAGCCCCCAAAATAATTTAAAGAAAAAGAAGACTACTAGTTACTATAAAACACTAAGCTGCCGAGCCAAGCGCTGCCACACTAAGCACACAAACGTCTCTCCGGCATTATCACCTCGCACGAAGCACCCGCGAGCAAAGGAGCCCCGAATGGCCCGCTGAGCTCACAGGAGCCGCGCACTCCCACGAGGGACCCCGGGGACAG